ACGTGATTCTTCTGTTCTGTAAGGTTCTCTGCGGAGCGGGCTCCCTGTGGGGGGCACTGTGGTGTGAGAAGTCGTCACAACAGACAAAGAGACTTTGGAGAGTTCGAGCAGTTAACGCCATCTCGTCCACTCGGACTCAGGTGACCCTACAGGCCAGGGCGGAACTGTCCCTGTGAGTTTCTGAGACTTTTTATTTTTTAATAAATCATTTTATTGGGAGGTCTTATAGCTCTTATAACAGTCCATACATCCATTGCACATATGTTGCTATCATCATTTTCAAAACATTTTCTTTCTACTTGAGCCCTTGGTATCAGCGCCTCTTCCCCCCCACCCCCACTCTCGTGACCCCTTGATAAAGGATGTTATTATTATTATTTGCATATCTTACACTGCCGGCTGTCTCCCTTCACCCACAGTTCTGAGACTAACTGCTGATGGGAGCAGAAAGCCCTTTTTCCAGGGGAGCTGACTGGTGGTCTCCATCTACTGACCTCTTGGTGAGCAGCCAAAAGGGTACTAAGTACTGCATATCCGTTATGTTACCAGGGCTCCCTGAGAAAGGACAGTAGGACTTCATGTGATTAGTCTGTGCTATATGTAGGAAGAAGATGGAGCTTTCTACCTCCGTCAGTCTGGGAGACCCACAGGGGCAGTTCTACCTTGTCCTGTAGGGTTGCCATGAGTTAGAATTGACTCAATGTCAGTGAGGCAGTCTTTACAGTCTAAAATAAGGAGGTGTAGCTTTCTGTCCAACCTGGCTCCCACCAGCATACTTTGGGGTCTATTTTATGGAGTCTGTGTGGCGCACCTGGTTATGCACTTGAGTACCCACTGGACAGATGATGGACTGAGGCCACCCAGAGGCACTCTGGCCATCTATTCCTGAAACATTAGCCACGGACAATCTATGGAGCTTCACGGAATTCTACAGGGACACCCATGGGTTTACTATGAATTAGCATCAACTTAACATTAAGGGGGTTGGTTCTTCTTAGGTAAATAAGGGGTAAATAAATCAGGCTCGTGTCCTTGATGTAAGGGAGGTGGATTCCACCTTGTTAACTTTTAATAGTACCTCACTGTCCCTAGACACCTCAGCCACTCAAAGCATAACCGAAACTTGGCGTGTTAACATTAGTATCAAAGGTTGACTTTAAGTATAAAGGGGGTTGAGTGGAGTGAGGGTTGGAAACATCTTCTGTGAGGAAATGCTCATAATACATAGATAAAATCATTGATCCACACATCCTGGTTACAGCTCCTTAACCTGAGAAGACAAACCCAATGACAGGAGACTGCTAGTTTCTTTTGGTGTTTATTTTAAGACCTAAACCATGCCTTAGTTATTGCAGTCAATATTTAGAGAGACATAAACAACAAAACAAAATCTCCATCTATGAAACAGCAAACATGAGGGGGCTTAAACACATGGTTGGAAAACATCATCACCCTTTCATTCCAGGTCTCCACGGACTACTGGAAGTCCTATAGTACAAGCCGAAGGCAAGCATGTGGATATCAACATGCTTGTGAGTCTAAGTCCATGAGTTCTAAAGCCTTCTTTATGCTGCTAGTTCAGAACGACATGCTTTCTACTGCTGTGTACAGTTACAGCCTCGGAAACCCACGGGGACAGTTCTACCCTGTCCTCTAGAGGCGCTCTGAAATGGAATCCTCTCTAAAGCTGTGAGCAAGACGTCATCAAAGTCAGCACGGGTCAAGGCGATGCATGGTGTCTCAGTATCTGGTTAACTGATCTGCTTTTACAGAACGCTTTCATGGTTAGGGAGCCCTGGGTGGAGCAAGAGGTTAACACCCCCGGTTGCTCATGGAAAAGTT